TAAGAAAGCAAATTTGTTTTGAGCGCAAATTCCAACAAGCATTATAGTAAGGCTATCAAACAAAAAAAAATGAGGTGCCTTATAACAAAATGTAGGTTAGACAATTGTTTCATTGTCTTATTACACAAAAATGATCTTCACAAACAACTGCTATGGAAATTTCACAATAATGTATATAGGGAACTATAGAGAGAGAGAGAGAGAGAATATTTCACTGAGTCAGCTAGTGAGCCAAACATGAATGGTGTGCCAGCAGTCTAGTATCACCTGTGATGTATGAGTCATGACACAGTAAAACAGGAGTGATATGTTGTCTGTGTGTCTATATCTTATACTGCTTAACTTTCATAAATATTCTGACCCACTTTCTTACCTTCCTTTTACTCTCACTGGAGCTTCCCATTCATGTAATGATTGTAACAAAAGAGTTAATATAATAACATGGTGGCTGTTATTGATGTGGAATCTTCTTTGTATTTTGTACTTATAAACATTTTTATGAGGTAAATTATATTTATTTTCATGAAATTAACTCACTACAGTGTTGGAGCAGTACCTCTAGACACTTGCAGAAATGCTGATTACAAAGTAGAAAAATATTGCTGTTTTGCTGATTCTTACATTTTTCTTTCATTGTCATATATAAATTGGTGTGAAGAGATGAATATTAGACATCTTACTTAAAGTACATTTCTGCGGATGAAAAGGAGAGATTTTAGAATTTAATCATTTAGCGCCTCACCCGGTATATCCTGGACTCTGTATTTAATGTGGTGGTCCCAACATTAAAGTCACCCTCTATTTTCACTAATGACCATGTTTGATACAAGACGACTCTTTCATGCTGTGTAGGTTATGTATATAATATTATTGTTGACACTTGACCTGCTTAATTTCATGAACTTTTCCGGCTTCCACTCTATTAAGTCTCTTTGAAGTTCACACTCACACCTGTCGTTTGTATACTAAAGACATATTGTGCATGTTTTGGGCATAGCATAATTATGTTCAGTAAGTTTAATTGAATAAAAATTAAAAAAAAACAAAACAATTTCAAGTTCAATTGCAATGTAATTGTTTCATTACCCTAATACCCTGCTGTAACTGAAAGCGATTAGCTTTTACCACCAGTATAGAGTCAGACCCAGCTTGGACACCTGTATAGTCTGACCAAGTTTTTTATCCCTTCAACTTTCAAATGGACTTTTCCAAAGTTGAAGCAGGGCAAATTCATTATAAAAATTCAGCAAATTAAGGTTTAATGGAATTAAAATATGTTAGTAAGCCAGACAGACCATTTGAGTGTAACAATTTATTGTTTAGTTAACTAAAAAGGCAGTGCACTCTTTGCATGCGAACTCGTAAATCTTCCAGTGAATTATGTATTTTCCTGCAGAGAGAACAGAAGTTTTAAGCTGCTTAAACAATTAGGGCGAGGTTTTGAGTCATCGTCTAAATCAAATAATCCATTATAACATGCAATGCATCATGCATCATTAGTATACTCGTAAAACCATAATCTGCAAAAAATGCCCTTCTTCTGGTGCATTGTATGCAACTTTTCTGTAAACTTGACAGATTTATGAAGGGCTGTCTGCTAGTGTATTTGAGCGGCATCACGACAAAATCAACATAATGGGTTTGCGACCAGCATGGATCCAGACCAGCCTGCGCATCCGCTATCAGATGTTCGCTATCAGTTTCTTTACTTGTTATAGGGTCTGTAAGCGAACAGCATGGATCCTGATCAGACTGCGCGGATGCGCAGGCTGGTCAGGATCCATGCTGGTCGCAAACCCACTATGTTGGTTTTGTCGTGACGCGGCTCATTTTATCAGAATGATTACTTGGATTTTATTCCAGTGTTCTTCTGTTCATTGCTTTCAAGTTTTGCCTGGGAGTTTTGTTTTTGTTCTTGAATTTATGTTCTGTTTAAGAGATTGTTCAAACCCAGATACACAATTGTTTAGAGAAAGGAAAGTTTACCTGAAATTAAAAGAAAAATAAAAAAGAAATGGGGTGAGCAAGGGGTTTGAAAGTTTGTTGTTTTCCGCCATTTTGTCTATAAGGTTTACATCCTTTTGTTACTAGTCTATTAGTCAGGGTGCAATATTTTCAGATCGTTAGAATTTGTTTGTACATCAAAGGTAAAGGTCATAGTCACCATTGAACAATTTAATAATGTTAATATCTTTTCAATTTCTGCACTGCTCAATGGTCCTACATGCAGATGTGGATTTTTGTTGGAAGATTTTTCTTTGATGAATAGTTGACGTCAAAATATTCTTATGCATGTATGTTGTTAGTATTAAAAGCCTTACTGACCTTACATATCAGTTGATATGTTCCGTTAGAATTTACAGAAGCATTATAATTCTTTACATGTTTGTGTACGTGGTGACGTTGATAATCTAGGAATAATTAATTGTTAAACTGAATGCCTCACAGGAATGTCAATATTTGCTCGATATTATAACTGCAAGTAGTCGTCAGTAAATTTAATCAAGTGTTAGATTAAGTAAATTATTATGAAAATATTTTGTAATATTTTAAATGTTGTAAATTATTCATTGACTTCTGTAATCTTGATTGTTGCTATCCAGCTAGCTTATGGAAGGTTGGTGGTTCTACCTAGGTGTCTGCTTAAAGCCTGAATTAATGCACAAATGGGTACCTGAGGTCTTCCTTCTGATGTAGAAAGTCTTTATATCACGTTTTCATTTCAGTGTGACTTAAAAACCCTTAATGTTAATGAAAGTAAATAATCTGGATTGCTTTCTTTAATACAGGTGTACATGTACATTATTTGAAAAAGCAGGAAATTTATGTATGTATGTGTACTGGCATGTGAGCAGTTCCCGTACAGAAGCAGTACCCGTATTTTTCATTTAAACGCTTGATTTTTACTTGCATTCTTCAAAAATTAATTTCAAATCAAGCAGATACATAAACGAGACAAAATCTAATTGTCAGTTCGGCAGTACGTATATAAAGTCTCATTTTAAATCACTTTCACCTGTGCGTCGTCAAAACGTAACCTTGTTGTCTCTGGGGGATTCCGTCATTGCGCGCATGCGCAAAAATACTTACACGTGAGGCTTGTTAAAGGGTTTTCCACTAATACCACCTGTTTACAAATAAGTAGGCAATGAGATGAAAAATTGTTTAATTATCAGAATGTTGACCAATATTACTATAAATAATAATTTTATGGCTTTGATGCGTAAAATATCATGCATACAAGCATGTTAATGCATATGAATGCGTTGGGGTAACGGTACCGGGTAATAGATACCCGCTTTTAGTTTACGCTCTATTTCCTGAATTACATCTTTTTATCTCTTAGAAAATGGTCTGTTCAACAATTGTAAATGAAAAATAGGTCCGATATAATAAAATTGTATAATTATAATGGGTTAAATTTTATGTACGGGAACTACTTCTCTTCATACAAAATAATGGATAATTTCGTTACCCCATATGAGGCCTCATAACTAAGGGTTATTCTATGTTTAGAACATGATGGAATTTCCATGATTTGTGTAACGAGCCGAATATTAATGTGTAACATTCAAATTTTGGTGAGTGAGCGTAATAAAAAATAACTTTTAAATAACTACGATTTTTGTACGGGAACTGCTCGCATGCCAGTATAGCAAATTAATTAAAAAATTCAGATTTATAGTTAGAATCATTCAATATTTAAAATTGCTACTTGTAAGCTTTCTTGAAGTACATCTTGAAAATTGTCAGATCATTGAAAAACATTTTGAAAAATTATTTGTAAACATTTAACAAGCAAGAAGTAAGTGTTTACATATTCATAAAGGCCAAAATTATAAACATTTGTTTGCTGTCTCCAAAGTTGCCAGCTGCATTGTATTTTATAAGAACAAAATTATGAAATTTGCGTTCGGCTTTTATTGCTTTCTTATTCTCGAGACTTATTATAATATAACTAGATATTAAAAGTAATGTAATCAGGTGTCAATATTTTTTTTCAAAACTTAAGCAGTTAAAAAAAAAACACATTGAGCAAGAAAACTAGTAATGGTCGCAGCCTTAATTTACTTTAAATTAAACAAGTGTATCCTTGTGACTCAGTATGCAAACTTGATTATAAATTCAACAAACAAATTAACAGGTTCCAAAAAGTTCAAACTACTTTAGATGAGAAGTTTATAACAGCTGAATGACTCAGCTGTTTTTCATTACCACTATAAACCTGTATAACTTTCTTTGTCTGTGAGAATAACTGTCTGTGAGAGAAGCTTACTACTGACTTAATATTGAAAATATTACATAGTGGCTGTTAGTTTGGTTTTTCAAAATTAGAGAACAAGATTAATAAATTTCCAATTCTTACTTACTAGTTTTAGTTGCCAATGTATCAGTTATATTGTAACTATGGCCTTCCCAAGCCTGGATTGAATATCAAGGACTGCAGATCAACCTATCTATGGTTATTAATCCCATCCCCCCACCCCAGTCGATTTAAGTAACTGCCAGTTCCCCTGTTTTTGAAGGGTAAGCACACAAAACCACACCCACTGATGGTAAAGTGAAAACATGGCTTTTTTTGGCGTCTGTCTTCAGCACTTAAAGTGGGTGTGGAGGTACATGTATTGAATGGTGTTGCAAAAGCAACTGGAGCATTATACTTCAGACATAAAAAATCTTGTGAAAATTTCTTAAATAAGTTATGATAATGTATTGGTAAAAGTAGTTCAAGATTGACAATATTTCTGTACAACTTTGACCTTCATTATCCTTTTATATAAGTTTTCCGTTAAGATATTGGAAAATTATTCAATGTTTGATCCTTGGATTAATTCAAGTCCAAGCTCAGCTTGATAAAAAGTCAATTAACAATAGGGCATAAATCAGGACAAACATAGTTTATAAAAAATAACAACAGTTTGCTTTCAATACTTAATAAAATAAACTTTATACTATGTTCTGTATCACAAAAGTTATCAATAATTCCTTGTATATTTCAGCATTGGAAAGATGTTTCGGATCTTGCTAAGAATTTCATTGACCGCTGTCTAGTCATAGCCCCTTCTGAACGAATCACTGCTGCTGAATCGGTCAAACATCCATGGATCGTTACGATGGCCGCCAGTTCTAGTAATAAGAACTTACACCGCACTATTAGTCATAACCTGTTGCAGCGTCAATCTACGAGGTCAAGGGCAAACAGTACAAAAAGTGCCAAATCTACACGATCAACGAAATCCAATAAATCGAATAAATCAGGACGTTCACTGCACTCAGAGCACCGACGGGTTCAGCAGGAAGAGATCGAGGCCCTGCATCGTGACCCGGAGGTGCAGGCAGATCTAGCCTCACTAAGTTAAGCATGAGGATTTTTTTTTACAGACAGATACACTATGATAAGAGAGAAGAAAATGTACAGGGAAAACAAGTTTGTCCTAATGGAAAGTATTTACAAAGAATGAAGCTTTTAGTTTATCAGTGTTGTGAAACATTACAGTTTTTGTGTACAGTGAAATCCTGAATACATTTTGCTGACATAACAAGTTTTTGAATGAATCCAGGGAAATTTGTGATTTATTTTAAGTTCACTAGGTTTGTTTTCAGTATCGTTTTCATTTTCTTCACGCTGTTTTTAAGTGAGGTTGGATATAGGATAGACCCAACAGAGAAAGATCTAGGGGGAATCGTTGAGATGCCCCTGTTGCCAAAATAACAAGATATGTGATATTATTATGAATGGAACCACTTGAACATGTGTGTGTGATTGATTGGTTGGTTAAAATATATACTACTACAAGGTGTTGAACATTGTTCCTTTATCCCCTAGAATTTTTGTTACAGATATTTCTTTTATATAAATAAATCTATTCTATGGAAGCAAAGATTCTGTACTTTAAGTTTGGGGAGGAAGGTGTTAAATGACAGAGACACATAATGATTTGTGAGGAGGAGATGAAGAAGAAAAGGTGAGAAAATCTTGTGTAAAGAGTCTACTTCAGCAGGGAATTTGTATATAGTCTCACTGATAGACCTCTATGTATGTTTCGTTGTGTATTGCATTACAAATATGAGCCGCGTCACGACAAAACCAACATAGTGCGTTTGCGACCAGCATGGATCCAGAGCAGCCTGCGCATCCGCGCAGTCTGATCAGGATCCATGCTGTTAGCTTACCAACTCTATAGCAAGTAGAGAAACTGATAGCGAACAGCATGGATCCAGGTCAGACTGCGCGGATGCACAGGCTGGTCTGGATCCATGCTGGTCGCAAAGGCACTATGTTGGTTTTGTCATGACGCGGCTCATATAAGGTCTTGTTAACTTGATAGCCAATGGCTTTTTCTTTTGACTTTTTTCAGTGTTTTACACATACAATGCCATCTTTTGATTCGTGTTTCGTAAAAACTTTAAAAAAAATGTTAAGATAAGCATCACAGACTTTTATCAAGCTGGATCATGTGATAGTGATAGAAATATCATTCGGAGATATTTTGTTTATAGAAATATGAATCTCGTAAAATATTAAAACACTGTGTGTTAAATCTTTTTGTTTAAAATTATCTCCATTGCTATTGGCAGCAAAAATATTTAAGTTTATTTTATGTCTTACAGATAAATTTGTTTAAAGTAAAAATTTTCTCAATTTGTAATGCAATACGTATTTGTTCGGTGATAATTACACTGTATTTTTTCATATACTATCGCTAGTGCCAAGTTGTTTTTTCTCTCATTGGTTGTTACTATGTTATTATGTTACAAATCATGTTTTTATGGAGATCTAGTTGTTATAATGATATGTGAAATGAGCCGTGTCATGACAAAACCAACATAATGCTTTTGCGACCAGCATGGATCCAGACCAGCCTGCGCGTCCGCGCAGTCTGATCAGGATCCATGCTGTTCGCTATCAGTTTCTCTACTTGTTATAGGGTTTGTAAGCGAACAGCATGGATCCTGATCAGACTGCGCGGATGCGCAGGCTGGTCTGGATCCATGCTAGTCGCAAACGCACTATGTTGGTTTTGTCGTGACGTGGCTCAAATGTTAATGCATTTAAGACTGATACAGCACAAGTGGTTATCACATGTATGATAGGCTCATGTGACGGTTGTGACCACAGGTGTTCATCACGTTGTTTGGTCAATACCCCAAACCCCCTCTAGTAAATAAATAAAATAAATGAATAGAAAAATAAATGAAAAATACAAAGATATATTTACTAAGTAAATCTATGTATTTTTGTTTTTTGTTTTTTTGATCACAGGGAGTTGGGGTATTAACCAATCAAAGTGCCAAACACCTGTGCATGTGACCAGTACAGTGCGAGCCAATGTCGCCTTGATGTCTTAACAGACTCAGTGCTATGGGCTCTTAAAGTTTATTTTTAAATTCCTTCAATTTGTTTTTGATATTATTTAAATAAAATGGACAATGATAAAATTTCAAGGCCAGATATATCCATAAGATAATTAATGTGAAGTGTAGGCTGAGGTTTCTTATGTTAAATATATCAAATTTTGCCATGGCAACAAATATTCTTCATTAGTTAGTACAATGTTTTATACTTAAATGTTCAGTTTTTACAGGTTTTCTTTAGAAAATCCCACCTGCCCATTACTTCATAATCGAAATAAGAACTTTAGAAACTGTTCTAAGGTAGATTTTGTAATTGCAGAATAAGGAGAATGCTTGTTAATTCATAAAAACAGGTTATAAAATTTATTGACTTAAACTTGTTTATTAAAAAAAAACTTAATTGTCAGAATTTTAATACATACTATACATCTATTAAACAACTTAATTATCATTTTCTCAGTAGGTTCATTAAAAATCATTATTCACACATTCAGTGACTACTTCATATATTTGAAAATGTCCGTCCACATGTGACAATATTTTTTATTATGGCATAGATTTATTTTTAATCGGTGATATTCTGTAAAGAAGAAAATCTCAATACCTATTCTATCTTTTTTATTGTCCTTTTTAACGTTTAGCCTGTTGGTGGGGGGGTGGGGCGACTGAAATTACCCGTGCGTCAAGTGCAGACCAGATCAGTGCCTTCCGATAATGGTCTGCACTGGCGGAATTCAGTCAGTTGTCATTTTGAAATTTTCGGTAAAAATTGATAAATGGTTTTGTCCAAATTGAAAGATGGATAAGTCCATTTATGAAATTTAGGGTGGTTAGGGTTAAGGAAGAAAAACGTCTGCTTTATTCTGGATCTGATATCTATTTTTATACATGTACCTACATGAATATGCAATTTGTTCAAAATATTTTTTTTTTAAACTATGTCGTCATCTGTTAATATAATATAGCAACAACTCTTGTTTTGACTTTTCTTTCAAGTATCAAATCTTATTTTGACACAAAATTTTGGGCATTTATTTTCATGTGTGTTTGTGCGTCACTTTTGGCATGATGAAAGAGGGAAGGTTTTGATCTGGGGATATGAGGAACTGAATGTTTACATACTGGATTTGTGAAATCCCTTACATTTCTATTCTGTTTGATAACTTTAGCTAAATTTAAGATAACTCTTAAAGTAAACCATGTCGATTTAATCTACCATTTAATGAAGAGGGAAAAAGAAATGAAAAGGTACCTTGAACTTAAAATGCTGGTGTAAGTAAATAAGTATTGGAATTTAATCTTACTTTGAACCCCATGTGCTATAAACTGATAAGAATTTTATGCCAAAAAATTGTATGCAAAAAAAAAATACCCAAAGTATGATCATTAAACAGTAATCTTTTGAAAAAATCCAAAATTATTATAACTTGAATAAATTTGACAGTTGAATGGAAAAATTATGATTTTTACAAAAATTAGAATACAGTTATTTGTACCATATTTAAATGAACCTAAAATGGTTGCTAAAGAAAGGAGGTCTTGCAAATTAAGTTTCTACGAGTTTTTCTGTACCCTCGGTATTCTCAAAAGTTAAGTAATAGAATATAATTGTTGATAAAAACATATCATACATACATGTATGTATTGTTATTTACAGTAGTTTGTTAATTTTAATGGTTGACCTAACTGCTCTTAACATCATCAATATTACAGTGCTGAAGGGGTCAACTTTATTTTATATCTTTGCCTTCAATTTTATACCTTTGACTTATATAATACATCTTTGAGTTCATTATTTTATCTTTGACTTCAATTTTATATCTTTTGATTTGATGGATGAATATCTTTTCTGTCCATAATATATTTTAAGTAAACCGTCCATATCTCAACCTGTCCATTAAGATGTTGTAATAAACCGTCCATATTAAAATTAACGTCCATAACTTTTACCGTCCATACATTTACAGTCCATGATTCTTATATGATATCAGTTGTTAAATTAGTATGACATTGTTTTTTCGTTATTATTTATGAAGTCAATCTTTAATTTAGTTTTTGCACCAAAAATTACAAGGGCTTGATTTTACTTTAGAAAGTCATTGTTATATGTGTGCAAAGTGTAGATCTGAAAAATCAAAATTGCTACTTTATGGTTTTGAAAAAAAATATGACTAAATATTGTAATGTTGTCAAGTTATCACATACACCGAAGTTTTGTAAGTACATAAGTCACTGCTGAATGTTTTACACACGTTTTTTCACTACAGTGATTTTTTTTTTCGTTATTTGTACATTGTTTTTAAAATTTGTTCATTATTTTTTCTTTTAAATAATTTATACATGAAATAGAAAGAAAAAATAATTCCTAAAATTTTGTAGGGATTTATTTCTTTAAGTGCCCAGTAATACATTTGTATTTTTGAAATAAAAATTTTAAAAAAACCTGCAGGTCATCGGTCGCTTTTAATTTGACACCCATTTTTAATTCATCTACAAAACAATTGCGTTCACAACAGTTTAAGGAATAAGTTAAATTATTTCAGTTGTTTACACAAAGTCCTCATTTGTGAAATGATGATTTTTTTTTATTTTTTTTTTTTAAGAAAACAGAACGGTTTTACTTTAAAGCTTGATATATCAATGGTCGGAGTAAATTCAGTTATATTTTTTACATAGAATTTTAATTGTTCAAACTATTGATTGAATGCTGTTTTATTTTTTTATTGTAAGCCTATAATCTCTTGTCGTCTACGGAGATTTAAAGTGCTTGTGAACGGCTGAAGATTATTGTTAATCCAGTTGTTCTCTTCGTTTCCGTTATTAATAGCTAAATCAGTTTGTTAAATCTACATTATCTACATTGTCTTAGTCATTGAGAAAATCGTGTACGCTCTATTATATATATATAACTTAAAACCTGGTCTATGTGTTAAAAGTATTGTATTTAAAGCTACTTTTAAGCTGACTGTTAAAGACGTCTAAAGTTTAAAAGGTGAAAGAATTATTATGCATTGAAATTTTGAAGTTTTTTAAAATGCCCTTATGCAATTCAAAATAGAATGCAAATTTTTCTGTCCCTTTAGTTTCTATTTTTTAGTGATTTATTTTTTCCTAACCTGTTATACAAGTGCTGCTGATCTGTTTAGAATTATTTTGTACTTTTCAGTTATTTCATTGTTTATTTTGTTGAATTATTTGTTATGTTAAGTGCTGAGTCTCAAGACACTGTTTTAACTCTTACTCATTTTTTTTTCACCCCCCTTTTTTACTAAAAGTATTAAAATGTTTTTATTATTATTATTATTATTATTATTAATAACTACAGAACTTGGGTTTGGATACATTATGAATTAGCTGTTGATAAATATGTATAAGAATTAAATGTCACATTTATTGATTAAAGTAGTCATACATGTATATTGTTTACTTCTTTTTTCATTAATTTGGTTTTACATGTCATGTGTTCAACTGGTCTGTGAATATTGAGACTCTAAGATCTTTCTGACCCAGCTAAAGTTTTGCACACAAGCTCTCATGTGCCTGCTGGTGCCTGAGATAATGCAGGGAATAGTGCCCGAGATAATGTAGGGAATAGTGCCTGAGATAATGCAGGGAAAAGTGTGCGAGATATTGCAGGGAATAGTGCCTGAGATAATGCAGGGAATAGAGCTTAAGGTAATGCCTGAGATAATGCAGGGAAAAGTGTCTGAGATAGTGCAGGGAATTGTGCCTGAGATAATGAAAAATAGAGACCGAGATAATGCAGGGAATGGTGTCCGAGATAATGCAGGGAATAGTGCCAGAGAAAATGCCTGATATAATTGAGAGAATGGTGTGGTGAGATAATTCAGTTAATGTGGCAGGAAATTAAGCCTAAAGCAATGCAGGAAATAGTGCCTGAGATAATGCAGAGAATAATGCCTGAGATAACGCAGGGAAAGGTGCATGAGATAACTAAGGGAATGGTGCCTGAAATAATGCAGGGAATAGTGCCTGAGATAATCTGAGGAAATGCAGGGAATATGATCTGAAATAATGCAGGGAATAATGCTTGAGATAATGCAGGGAATGGTGCCTGAAATAATGCAGAGAATAGTGCACGAGATAATCTGAGAAAATGCAGGGTATAGTACCTGAGATAATTCAGGGAATAGTACTGGAGATCATTCATTTAATATTGCATGAGATAATGCAGGGAATAGTGCATGAGATAACACAGGGAATGGTGCTTGAGATAATGTGGGGAATAGTGCCTGAGATAATGCAGGGAATAGTGCATGATATAATGTAGGACATAATGCGTGAGATATCACAGGGAATAGTGCAAGAGATAATGCAGGGAATAATGATGAGATTATACAGGGAATAGTGCATGAGATAATGCAGGGAATGGTGCCTGAAATAATGCAGGGAATAGTGCCTGAGATAATCTGAGAAAATTGCAGGAAATATGATCTGAAATAATGCAGGGAATAATGCCTGAGATAATGCAGGGAATGGTGTCTTGTGATATTGCAGGGAAAAGTGCGTGAGATATACTAGTAATAGTGCCTGAGATACTTCAGAGAACAGTACCTGAGATAATGCAGGGAATGGTGCCTAAAACGATGCAGGGAATATTGCCTGTGATAATGCAGGGAATAGTACCTAAGGTCTTCCTTCACCAGTAAACACAGACACTATGTGGCCAATACAGTGTTGCTGCGACTTGAAACCCTACCAAACTTTCTTCCCAATATTCAGTCTCGTGTATCTTAATAACCAGCATGTCTGAATTATTCCCCTTTGTGTGCATCACTCCCCTTTGTTTTGTGAAAGCACTTAATAAATTGGAGGAAACTGGCCAAACTATTGCTTACTCTCGAGCAGCATCATAGGCTTGCCAGGCGTATTTGTCGTGCCAATAATGGTCAAATTGTAATTAAATAATCTCCCCTTGATCATCATCCAGCATTCGTTTTACTATATATATAGGTGGTAATTTTGTTCCTGATGATCAAGGGGAGATTATTTTATGGTAATTTGACCATTATTGGAAAGACAAAAGTGCCGAATGCCTGAGGTAGTCAAAATACAGGATGTTATGCTCTAATTCGTTACACTCAAACGAGCATAAATCATTTACATTCTTTAATAATAAATAAATAACACAACACAGAGTTTAAAGAGGCTAAAGAGAGTATTTGTAAGCCGTCGAAACTAAACGTTTATTTTCCCAACCAACAAAGACAAAATTCTAGATATAAATCTACATATCAATTTTTGTTAAGACAAAAGTCCAAAAAAGCTTCCATACGACTTATAGTGATAAATTTTCTAAGCAAATTCATCTGTTAAAATATGCCAAATACTTCATGTAAAAGTAAAGAAATATAAAATTTCCAATATAACTTAATAAGAGAGTTTTGCAAAACAGACGTTTTTGAAAATGTTCGAAAAGTCAGGTTGCTCAACCATAATCCAACGTGGGAGGGGGGTATTGTTGAAGGATGAATCCAGGCTCAAGACAAGCGGCTCCTTCGAACCTACCTGATATAAAACCCAAATTTAGTGGTCTAAAACTTTATGTCATAATGGAAAAAGGAAACGAATTTTGAAAATTATGAATAGGCAAAGACACATATAATTTCTCCCTGAAATAAACTCATTTCATGTACATAATTATATGCAAACAGAATAATAATTCACAGTGAATCAAAACGGAATTAAATGAATATGCCTCATCGATTTTGAAAGTCCATGGATATTATTTATTTTGCGTATAAAGACACATGTTTACTTTGCTCCGAGCTGTACATAATCCTAAAAAAGAAAACAATTGTAAGAAACATTTACAAAACTTTCTGTGTAGCATCTAAACGGCTTGACAAATAAACCTCGAATGCCCGCTTTACTAATTACAAGAAACTCGTGCACTATTGCCGCCAAAAAACATAACTTCCGATTACTTCCTTATAAGGAAATACTAAGTTACGGTTATGATTCCGACAATAAATACATTCATTTGATAGCAATGATGGTGGATATATGGTAATTATCATTTTTATTTTAAAAGGCATTAACACTTGGATTAAGATGCGTTGATGAAACATGTGAGTTGACTTAAGAATGCAATACGAATATTTTGCGCACTCGGGTTGCTATGTTCACGGAAACGGTTAATGTAAGGTCCCTTGGATAATTCACCACTTTAATAAAACAAAGGATGAACCAGCCATCGCTTAACACACACAATGATAGCGTTTTAAATGAAATCCTGCATTTTTCTATTTCTAAAACACCGACCCGAGAGTTTTATGATTAAAGTGGAGTTGTGTGAACTATAAAATCATAGAAAAACCTGTTCCAACAGAAAATGGAGATCTTCTAGAGATAAACAAATCCTGATTTCAACATGCACAAAAGCTATCATTTTTACGAGAGAAAGAATCTCAACTCTTAGCCTTCTGGCTGTTGCTGATTCTACCCTTTTGAGATCAGTGCAGTCCAAAATGAGCCTGCACTGTTCACTCAGTAAGTAAATATTTGGAAATTCTCCCTAAAAATGATAAATGGTTTTGTCCAGATTGAAAAACAGCCACGTCCATTTAGAATATTTAGCGTTGTAAGGGTTAACAGTTATAACATGTAAATCTGTAAAACATATTATAAAATCACGAGGTTATGTTTTTTCACGGTACACCCTTCATTCAAGAATATTGAGAGAAATAAAACATTCTGAATAAATTTATCCCTGCAGAATTCGGTTTATCTTCTAATCTGACATTCTAACGGAGGCTTAACCTATTTGAAACACAACCAAATTGGCCCAATTTCGCAGACAGACAGCTTTTCAATCAATCATTTAGGAAAATACATACAGAACAGAACAAACGTTAGAGAAGTTAGCTCACAACTAACAAATGGTTTAAACAGGTAATTCCAAGTACTTGATTTGCAGATGCCAGTGGCAGACCGACCAATTTCTTTTTGCATGTGTTATGTTACTATGCTGCTTTTTTCTTTTTCTTCTTAGAGTTTTATACACTGGCATAAAACAGAATATGTGAAGTTTTTTTATTATTTCGTCTAAACTATCCGAATCGTGTACATTGAACATGTATTTATATTGTAAGTATTAAACTTTTGCATGTCTGCTAAAATGTCACGTGCGTATTTCATTTTTAATTTATCCAGTTTTCTTGAAATACAAAAATGTGACTGTCAACCAGTTTTATTGGCTCCTGGCAAGACACTGAGGTGGTCGTCTGGTCTGGCACTAATGCTATTCTGGTAGCCCTAGGTAATCTGAGGTTTCAGTTCGAGTCTTGCATACACGTGAATACTATTATTAATGTTCCTCTATAAAGATCATTTCTTTAAAGCGCCATTTAAAATGCATATACAGCGTTCATCATGTTTTGACAACTGGAAA